AATTTGTCTATCTATCTTAAATATTTATTTTAGCCTGAGATAAAACACAACCAGGATATGCCATTTGCAGTCTCTGTTCCCTGATTTAGGGGCCTTAAATTCTCAATCATTCACCTTGACCATTACACACTTTGTGACAGACAAAATGAATCCCATCAAACTAGGGTAACCAGTTACCAAGAAGTAACCTTTACTTGAATCTTTCTTGGCAGATAAAAGTTGGATACAAGTAAAATCTCTGTAACTAAAAAAACATGGTGAGCCTTGTACTGTGTTGCATGAAAATATTCAAGTTTGAAGTGATGAAATCAGGGGAAAAAATATGCTGGATACCCTTTATATTAAATAAAGCCCATCAGCATCCATTGGAGAGGGGAAAGTTAAAAAAAATATGTTTAATGGAAAACACTTGATGTTTTTGAATTGAAATTAAAAATTTTGCAATATTTATCTGTTCTAGTTTTAATCTCTTAGTTTCATCTCCAGCTGTCTATAAACCTAAAGCTTTCTGTGTTTTTAAATACACAAAATGGATTTTCAGTTTCCAAAATGATTAATATTTGATTCCAGTTACTAGGAAGAAAGTTCTAATAAGTGCTTTAGATAAGGCATTCAGTTATTCATTCTGAACCATGGCTGAGTAAGGAGGCCAAAATAGAGATTGCTGTATACAATTATTTAAGAAAGTTATTTTACTACATAAATACAGTGAATGCTATGCACCAAAAGTATTAAAAAGTTTCTAAAATTGACTGAAACTCAGCTTGAATATCAATATTTTTCAGCCCCTTCATTAGCTCAAATCAAATTCTACTTAACTGATTTCCCAAAAGTTCAATTTTATAATTAAGAAAATCTCCAATTTAATTGGATTAAAGCATTTCACACAGTTTTCCTTATGCCAACTGAATTATGTATGTTTTACACACCATTTGAATAGTCTCTTCAACATTATTGACTTTTTCTTTGTGATATAGGACCATGTTACACAGGTCTCTTTGTTTCACACTCCAAAGCCCTAACTGACAGAAAATCATTATATTAAAGCATTATATTAAAGTTAAATTTAATGAATTTAAATTATTTTTTTCTTATGTGGTTGCATTAAAAATTAGTACTTGTAGAATTAAGAAACATTGACTGAATAATGTCTGAACTCCATACAAAGCTAACAATTTCAAATAAATCAAAAATAAATAAAAAATTAAATAAATCCTACTACTGTTTCTGCTCTCTGCTTAGTTCTTCTGAGCTGTATAAGCCAATCAAATCCACTTACTTAAACTTTCATAATAAGGTGAGAAAAATTTCATCAGAATAATTAACAGAAAATGAATTAGGTCAGGGTATTCCTGGAAAGAGCCACCATGCAAATAGCAAATTGGTTAAGCAGATTGCTATCTAAGCCATGTATGAATAAGAACATTCTTCCTATATCTAATGCATAATCTGACAATATGTATGAGTCTTATCAAGAGCTCACTACTAGACAGAAGCTTAATAAACCACCTAACAACTTTTATATATGATGCCTAGACATCTTAATGCATATTCTTTTGATATATGAAGTATTGGAGCTTGAAATCTTTTGATGGCTGTAATAATGTATTTGATGCCTGACCTGGAAGAAAGAATCTGAAATACCATCAAGGCATGAAGATGGAAGTATGGATAATGTATTTGTACTGTACTTGCGCCACAAACCAGGATGAGCATACCACAGAGAAGAAAAAGAGGAGAAGATGTATCCTAAGAGGATATCCTGAGAGGGCTTACTGGCAGCACATTTACCTCATGATATGCTGGCTGCTTGTTCCTCTGCCTAGTATTTGCCACAGTGATTACAAATGAAGTATACGGGAGGAGCAAGGTAAGTTGGAAGGGTAATTTAATTTGTAAAGTATTTTACATATTTTTTAACATTGTTTTCACTTCTAATACCTATCATTCTAAAATTTTATTCAAAACCCTGAGAATCAGCCTACCTTTTTATGACTTCAAATTGGTTTAACATTAAAGGCTCCAGAACCAGCATTAGGATATGAGACCAGGCCAGCTCTGTATTTCTGTGATCCAAAACAGTAACATCAACATTTGCTAGTCCAAAGTTCTTCATGTCTATCATTGCATCCACCAACATACTTTTACAGAACTTCATCTAGAAACTTCTTTCTGTAGCTTTTATTGCTAGTGAAAGCATTTTTTCCATCACTGGTTAACCTTTGAGTTTGTCAGAAAGGTTACAGGTTTTGAATATTTTGGTCAGATTTAATTAATATTTTTATTTTGGGAGATATGTTTCAGGGCTCCATTTTGAACAGAATTCCTTACAACATTGAAATGGCTGAACCTAAGAACCAAATACTATGCTTTTAATCTATTTTTTTCAACCTCTGTATTCTGCAGGTGATGACAAGATCATTTACAGAATTCATCTGTTTATATTTAATTCAACTGTCTCTTCTAAATTGATAAACATATTCTTCAAACAATTTATTTCCCTTTAGTTAAATAAATTATTCTTGAATCTCAATGTTTTCCAAGCTTCCATCTTTGCTGTCTTTTCCAGCAGTCTATCTATATCATTTCAGATAAATAATAAAAATACTTCTTCTGGATCAATCTAAAGAATCCTCTCGAAAATATGCCAAGCTTTTGACTCCTTTTTGGCTTCTCATTTTCTGGTTCTTCAGTTGTGATCACATTTAGCTCTGAACAGCCACTGGACAGGGAACTTTGCTCAGTCTTTGTGTAGAGTGCTCTCTCCACCAGACTTGTGGCCAACAAGAATGGATTCCAAAGACAAAATCCACTCTGCCCAGGAAAAATTCCACTGCTGGCTGTAGTCACCGTTAAAAATTGTGACATTCTTTATGTGCAGATATTTGAGAAAATGTGACTGTTCTCTCAATTATGGAGCTTTGCACACTTAGAAATTGATAACCTGGTAGGATTGTGTTGCTATAAAGGACTGGGTAAAACACATCACAAAGACAGAGATTCTTCTTGTACACTTATGGAAGATAAAAACAGACCTTGGAGACAGTGGAATAAATTTATCCAGTGAAAGTGGAAGAGTTACTTTCAGGGAATGTTTCTTGCTTTTGAATTTGTTTTCATGGAAGAATGTGGAGCAGCCAAAGCTACCTGAAACATACTGAAGCATACTGGAAACAGTATGTAGTCACAAATCTGAAATAAGCAAGGGCTGGAACTTTTCTAACCCCCATATAAACAAAAACATTACTCACAGGAGTGTACAGCATATTTATATTTATGATTTGTTAATGTGTAATTACTTTCCAAAATAATCTTACATGTATTGTCAAATACATTTTTGATTTACAGTGTATACCAACTAGAAAGTCAGCTGCATAATGCAGTCTGTCTACAATGTTCATGAATAGATAACCATTGTCAGTAATTTTGAATTAATTTTGAAGAACAAACTGTGAATATGCAGATTAATGCATATTCATTAGACATCCCATTTCACAAGCAAGCATACCTATTTCAAATAATATCAGCCAGGTAATGACATATATTAAATTTCACTACACAGAACATGCAAAAAGATGTGTTGCTATGGTACATAGCAGTCACGTAGGGTTCACTTCTCTAATACCAGTAATCTTTAAATCCTTTCTCCACAGATACAGATTTGAGCTAGTCTTCTTGGGATAACCAAGTTATACTGACATGCCACTAGATTACATAAATCAGTGTGGTATAACTGAGTAATAAGAGCAGAACCTAGTCTAATTTTTACAAAAAAAAAAAAATAATGTTTTGAGCTTCAAAGAAATATTCCATATTTTTTTAAAAAAGTGTCATTTCAACATTGTCATTCAGCATTGAAATGTCAATTTCAACATTGACATTTGGTGTTGATTACACTGTTGCTTGAATATGAACAGAAAATACATGTATACTACCCTAGTGCAGTAATTTTTGTCTTAATATAAAACAAGCAAAATTGATCAGATTTTATTAGATGCAATCATATATATATATACATGTAGGAAATTGTGTTTCATACTTGATTCTGCATTTAACAGAAATGTATTAAAAACACAAAAAAAAAAAAACGAGGGAAAGAAGGATTGTGTTTTTTTTTTTTTTTTTTTTTTTTTATCCTGAGGGGAGTTGTATTTCTTTCAACAATCTCTCAGAATTGTACCTGCATTTTACAGAAATCTGAACATCAATTTTGAAAATATTTACTATTATAAGAGACAGTAAAGTTTGAAAAGTGCTAAGCCACTTAAAATTTATCAAGATGATTACCCTGGAAGCTGTAATCAAGCATCTGTAGATTTTTAGATGCATATCTAATAATGAATGCATTCTGCCCTAAAATTAGAGAGGTTTCTATGATTTTTAATTTTGCAAATTTTACTGGAGGTCTGGGGAAAGTTATAAGATTTTATAAGATGATGGATGCAACTTTCATTTAGCAAATGAGCAAGCTGAATTCATGAAGATTAACGTTTTTGAACAATGTATGGGTTTAGAGGTAGAGTTAATGGAGTTTTCATAGCCAAATCCCTTCTAAAGCTTAGAGAAGCTTTCACCTGTCCCAGTTTTCTTACAGGCAACTAAAGAAGAGAACATAAGCAAAAAGATATGAAAAAATGTAAAGAACATGGCAAGCAGTCATTGGAAAAGACAGGAAATTTTTGGTTGAAGCAAAATAATTGTCCATAATAATAATAATAATAAACTGTGGGAAGAAACTGGTTTTATTCGTTCATCAGAAAAATGATCATTTGCTATAGTGATCACAGCACTAAATGAACTATTTATTACACTGGTTGTATATATAAGTGCACTCAACACTTACCACAAAGGGCATGAAAGCCCTAAGACTGAAGAATGTTATCTGAAGCATGACTAGCTAATAAATGATTTTCAGTAACTTTCTATGATTTTCAGTAATTGTGACCAGCTGATCCCTGGGTTTTCAGATGACTGATCTTCCTGCTGAATGCAAAAGTGGAGGTACTTAAGCCCACAGGAATGGGGAAGACTTTAAAGGCCTCACACAATGAGGCAATTTATAATTTCAAAGCAGGTGTTGCAGAAGAGACATAGAAATTATTGGCAGAATCCACACATTTTTGGTATATATTTCCCACTTTTCATATATTATAGGTCAGCTTACTACATCTAATTGTGAACTGGTAATATCAATGGAACAAAATCTTTCAACATCAGTATGCATGTAAAGTCAATTTTATTGACATTTAAATGTGAAAGCTGTTAAGCTTGTCCTTAAATAATACATTTTTGTAGTTAAACAATGTGCTCTACATATATTTTTCAAATAGTATATTATGTTTGATGTATTTAAACCAGACAACTCTATGTTAGTGATCTAGTTCTGAGCTGCTTCTGAAGTAGCCTTCATAGACACTAGAAACAAGCTTTGTGATGTCTTTGTAAAATAGAAACTTTTTAGTCTAGAAACTCTTAGCCATTTAAGGCCAGGTAGCAGGAAGCTATGTCACTTTCACAGAACTGTAGAATCACAAAATGGTTTGTGTTGGAAGGGTACTTAAGAACCATTTAATACCAGTCCTCCTGACATGGGGAGGGATACCTCCTACTAGATCAGGTTGCTCAAAACCCCATCCAGCCTGGCCTTGAACACTTACAGGAACGCATCCACAGCTTCTCACCACCTCAACACCATCACAGTAAATAATTTCTTTCTTATATCTCATCCACTTTTACTAAGTAGATTTGTTGTATTCAAGTATTTAAGTACCAGCAGACAATATCGTAAGTATAGAATAAAAATCTAAGAGCAACATAGTTTAGAACAGGAGAAGAAATGAGCTTCTCTAGGTCATAGAATGCAGTTTCCAGCCTAGCTCATTACCTAATTTGATGCATAAATTTTCTAACATCTACTTTTATATATGCAGGTTGGTTCCTCCTCTCCTGGTACTTGAAAGCTACTCCAGAATTAGTTCCGATGAAGTCTAGGATCAGTCTTTTAAATTATAGTCTGTACCAGGTAATCACTGTATAAACAATGCAATGAGAGTTCAGTCCTTTGACAGAGAGAAGTACCAATTTATAAATCCACCAAGTTATAAATAAGGGCTATGGTTGACAGTGGAGGCATTACATCTCATCTATTACTCCTTGTATTACTTCAGACTTCCAGAATCACTTCTGGCAAACACTGTCTCTATGACATTATGATCTTACTGTGTATGAGAATTTATGTTTACTTTCCTGTAAATATCACCTATTTTCTTCTCCTGCACTAAAAGTATGTAAAAATGATATTAATTTCTGATTTGATATTAACATTGTCTTTGAAAAACTGATGTAATACCATCAGAATATTTAGTCCTAACTGTCTTTTATGTATATATATAATAAGGCTTCATAGATTTTTTTTTTATATATATATATATAAGCCATAGAATTACAGGAAATATATCAGAATTTTCTACACTTATTTATATAGCCATAATTTATGTTTATTTATGCAAACAAGAATAAAAATATTGAATTGATCACTCTATCTTAAATTCTTATTCTTGAAACACGCATATCAAAACTTTCATCAGAATATGTGTCATAATTCTCCCTAGAAGAAAAATATTTTGGGCATGGAGGTTTTAACCTGGAACATAATTCTGTTTTATGCTGGGAATCCTCTCTTTCTCTGCCAGGTCAAGATTAAATGATTATTTGGACACATACTTGCTGGGCAGTCTTCTCCCCTTCCTTCTTATTGAGATTATTAAAGTCTGTAAGTATTATCATCTCCCAGTGATAATTCACATAATCAGTTTAATAATATCACTGAGCAAGCATTCCTTCCTCAGCATTGTAAATCCAGAGCTATCAGATCCTGCTCTGAAAGACATCTGCGTTGGCAAGATCTGGGTTTATTCTACACCGAGTTTCTCCTCACTTCAACAATATAATTTTATTTAAACATAACCAAATCCTGAGAGAACCAACGGTCTTCATGTTGTCTGTAATTCTCAGTTATATGATGTTTTATACAGTGCGAATACATAAAAGCTGAAAATGATATAATTTTAAATGAAGGCTTTGGAACTTCATACCAATGAGACTAAGTTGATAATACCTTCTCTGGGGTACGGTCTGAGTCTCTTCTAAAATATTCTTGAGCTACTTATGCTATAAATGGAATGGAGTAACATCATTAATATTTACCCTCAGCAATAGTATTTTTACCTTTTAAATTCTTTATAAATATATGACACAGAAATCTGTTCTTACTCCTAAGTAGGCACTTCCATTTATTCTAATATTTTTCCACATGTGAGTTAGGGGGTTTAGGTGACCTGGACAAGGCTATGCCAAGACTGCCACTCAGGAACACTTGATTCTTTGTTCATTGCTTAAATAAATAAACCAAAAAGTGCAGATTTCATTTACAATACTAAAAAAATCCCAGAACTATGAATCAAGAAGATCAACCTTGAATCAAGAAGACCTTGAATCAAGGTTTGTGAGCCATGTTTTCCCCAAGAAAATCACTGTTACCATGGGAGATTAAAAAGTTAATATTAAGGAAAAGAAAAAAAAAAGTGCAAGGTAATACAAGAGTTATTTAATCAATATTGCTTTTTGTAGGCCAGGAAATAATAGGCTTCACTGGGTAAGAAACTGAATTTTCTTTTTCTTATCAAAGCATTCATACTGATTCATTCATAGCGTGGAAAAGATCTATGAGAAGTAATGCATGGGAATCCCAGGATTACTGAAAAGATTGTGTGGAAATGATCTAGAAACATTTTTATCTTCTATGGAAATATTTTGTTGCAAATACAAGTTTATGTCAATTTTTCATATATAATTTTGAGGCAGAATATTGAAGTGTAACATTAAAAAAGATGACAACTGAGAACTGTAATCAAGACATATTGCCACAACTGCCATATACGATAACTGCCATATGCCCTGTTTCTTTCTAAAGATCAGATCAGAGTTGATTTAATGTTTCCTGAAAAAAAATAAATAATAAAAAAAAATCTTATTGGAAGCTGAATATATATATATATATATATATTTTTTTTTTGACCAAAGGATTTCAATTTCCCCAGTCAATATCTTCAAATATATATATATAATATATATATATTTCCCCACAGAATTAAAAGAAGTGTACTTTATTACATTATTTGTTAAAAGTCTTTCTAAGTCTTACTCCAGTTACAGTAAAACAGACGTTCAATTTCATAGCCTTCAAAACTGAAGTATCTAAATGGCAAATACAGGAAATGTTATTGTCAGTCTTCTGCTACTTAATCATATGAGGATTCTATTTTTTTTTTAAATAGCTTGATGAGATACATGCCTGATATTTTCATCAAAAGGGCTAGTGATGTGAGAGGTAGCCTGCTGCTTGTCCTTACCGTGTTGTGTTCTGCACAATATTAGTCAGTTTTACTCATTGACTTTGACGTATCAGTTCATAATTACTGGCACAGCAGATCATTTTGTTAGCTGCAGTGTCCTATGTTGTAGAGCTAATACCACACAGCTGAAGATTTGCTTTTAGCATGTCTGGTTAACAATTCATTGGCCAACCTCTCAGCTGTTCACACGTTTTAAAATAAGAAAATAGCTCTGAGCAATCATTTTTTTCTGAGATAAGCATCAAATGTCTGGACCAGCGTAGCTCAGCCCTGGAGGAACACTGCCTGACTATTGCTTGGGATCATATTGTGCTTTACATTTTAACACTATTAAGGGCAGAAAGATAACTCATATGGAAGTGGCTGGAAGGCTTGATGTGAAAAGTGTTAATTTGTCCAAGCATTGCAACCATAAAGAAGAATTGTGACAACAGCCACAAAGCAGACATTAACATTTGTTTGAAGTCAGATACCCTTTTAATTCCAGACATGCTGATTTAATCTCTGTAGCTACAACAGCTTTTGCTATCCTCTGCATGACTTCATCGATCAAGTAAGGTAGTGAAATGATGCTGCCAGACTGGCAGAGTTTGTCCTCTGGTTTCAGTAACGTACACATAGCCGGTGGAGCAAGTGTTCTACCTCTAAGAAGCAGGGACAGGACAGCTATTTCAGTTATGTTGAGGAGCAGGTTGAGATGATCCATCATGCAAACAAAGCAGTTAGTGTTGAGCTCTGCATACTTTGCCAGGGGCATCCCTGTGCTCGTAGGACCTTTCTGTGGTCTTAAGGTCAGATGGGACTCTCTGAGGGTTGACCCACAACCATCTACACTGAAGAACGTGGGATGGCAATGCATCGTGCCTAGATGCAACAAGGAGTTTTGCTCACGGCAATCTTACACAAGAGAGGTGGAACAATGTAGCCTCATTGAGGACTACGTGTGACAGCAACAGGCTCTGACAATGCTGTTTATTTAAAGATTGTTGCTGCCATACCATCACGAAATGAGTGAACTGTCTGCAAGTTAATCTGGATAGCTCAATTTCTGAAGCTGTCTCCAAGAAATCCTGACAGGTAGTCACAGTATAGCCACAAGGCCAAAAGCTTTCACTGGCTGACAAAGATAATTTAGAGATCTTTCTTTTGTTCTGCTCATATCCCTTGAATCTTTACAGCTTTAAAAATCACAAGAACCATGCCATAAAACTGACTTTCTGAGGATTACTTTCAGTCTCAAACCTGTAGAGATCTAGTGCAGGAAAGATTTCCCTGACAATTGGCAGAAATGATACATCCCAGTCATAATTATATCATGGGGGGGACAGATTTCAGTTTGAGAAGGTGGGTGATATTTACTTCCCTCAGCTATTGTGGACTTTTATTTATTATACAGCAGTGAAGAGCTGCAATTATTTGTGATTAGGTCCTAACCTCAAGATTTGTTTAGTTTGGCAGAAATGTCATCGGTACTTAGTCTCACATTGTGACATCTGTTTCATGGTTTCAAAGGCATCCAGGACAGTAGATGGTACTGCACTTTGCTGCTCACTGGATTTTAGCTGTTATTCCATTAGAGATGGAAGATGGAGAATTGCATAAACTGTTGAAATGTTTCTGCCAGAAGTTCAGTCCCTAACAAGGTTTGACCATCTTCCCTGTGGAATGGGAAAATACAAGTGCGGTTTTAGGGATATATATTGCTTTCAAGCATTCAGGAAAGTATTTGACATTTTTAATTTGGAAAACAGTTTCTTGAATCTCCTGCCTGTGCATCAATCATATTTCAGGACAGGAAAGTTTTTTTCTGCTCCCTTGAAAGGTGTATTAAGAGGCTTTATATTCTTTTTTATTCTACCCTTATGAAGTACATACATTTAATAGTGAACTAACGAATCTGCCGTTTCTGTCAAACCTGTCCTGAGAGCAATCTTAACAAAACAGAGGTACTTTGCGAGAGCATTCTATTGTGAATCTTTAAGGCCTTTCATTTTCTATGATTTTGTACTTGAATAGATGCAATAACAAGCTCGCTTTTCAACTTTTTTTTTTTTTTTTTGTGTGGTTGTCATGTTGAATGACACAGAATTTAGTATTTGAATGCTAATTTGCTGTCTACTCTGCAAGCATCAGACAGCTAAGGATATTGCACTGCTTACTAACCAATGATCTGACCAGCAATCTGCACCAAATGTGGTCTGAGAAAACTTGACATCACAAACATGAAAGTACTTTACTATGACACTATCAACAAGATGCCATTCCTGTGATCATAAATGGTTGTCTAGTGCTTTGCCAGTTTGCTAGGAAACTAAACACTATCTACTGCCAATTTTCAGCTCATAATAATAGGAGCAGTATCACTGAAGTTTTTCTAATCAACATAGATGTAGGACCTTGCAACAAATCTCCACAATATATTCATGAATTTATCATTTTGTGGAATTACTTTAATCAGATTTGTTAAGTAAAACCATGACATAGTCATTGAACTGGCACTAATAGGGGTGCTTGGTCAAGCTATAAAAGAATTATTTTGCATATCAACTAGCATTTAAGCACCTGCATTGTAAATTCCACTATAGCCCTCCCCTTCTTATTATTTGTGCTTGGGCCTCTTTTATCAAGAACAAAGAAAATGTGAAAGAGTATATACAAAAAAAAAAAAAAAAAAAGCAATCATGTTTTGGCCAACACACACAATAGGTAGTTATGCCTAATGAGCTACTCAGCTAAGTGTTAATAAGTGTTAATATACTCACCACTGCTGATTTACTGGCCAGAGAGCCACTGATCAGATGGGGCAGGATCATCCTCTGCTGCTCCTTGGAAGAGACAGAACCTTGATGTTGCAGAGCTGCAGTTTACAGATTTTGTTTTTACTCAGGGTTTTAGACTTTCCCATGTCAGTGCTATTTTATTGTAACCTTTAGTTGCTAATTATTACTACCTCAACAGTTGCACTTGTATCTTTTTTATTTTTCTGTATAGTGTTTGATTAAATACTTTCTCATATATAATAAAATAACTAAATTATATAAAAGAATATATAAGAGAATAATACGTAATGCGAGAGAAGAATATTTTCAGGGAAGTTCAGGGATTTAAAAAAAAAGAAACTGATCAAACTTATGATCTTGAAAGAAAATATTCACAAGATTGTGGCAATGATCTGCTCCATTTCCTTTATAAGCCACTGTGAGAATATTTAATAGAAAGAAGTTCCTTTCAAGTGAATTTTTTGTACAGTTGCTATGGGCAGTTAGTGAAGCCCCAAAGTTCTTTGGTGAATTCAGTGGTCAATGAATGTTCCTTTCCTTGTCATCTTCAGCTCAGATGTCTATATGACCATTTCCATTGGGTCTAATTAACTGCTGTCTCACTGCAGGTCTGTGCTGACACAGTTCTATGTAGTTTTTAAATGAAGAATTAGAAAAAAATCAGGACCTGCTACCTCAACTATTTCCAAACTGAACTAATAAAGGAGAGCAAGAGGAGAAGCTGATTACACTACATTTTAAAATGTATTCAGATACATGGATATAATAATATCAAAGAAACTTTTAAAAATAATCAAGAAAAGAAAATGTATTTATTTTTATGTTAGCAAGGAATATTGCTAACAAAACAATGGCTATGCAGCCAAAATTTAGGGTTAAGGTTTTTATGGTTTTTATCTTCTACAGAAATATTTTTTTATAGTTCAGATTAGTTTCAGATTAATTCTTATTTATTTATTTATTTATTTTTAAACTGAGCACAGTAGCCTGAGGAAGGCATAATTCTGTTTTCTGATTCAGCAGAACTGCTAACAGGTAACCCCTACTGCAAACAAATATCTTTACATGACAAATCTACCAGCTTTGAAAGAGATGTCACGGCAAGAGCCTCAGCTGGTTTGATTTTAAAGTAAGTTATGTGTTTGTGGCAGAACATCTTCCCTTTCTCAAAGAAACCAGTAGGGGCAGCTACAAAAACTGCTGTTGTATTCCAGACGATTTGTACAGAAAAGAACAGTGTATTTCATACTGAGAGTCTATTAAAAAACAAATCTCATTTACACCGATTAAAAGGACTATTTAATTCCAGAGTAGTTCACCCACAGAAGAACACACCAAATATACAGGATACCACAAGGTCTTGCAGGGGTTGCATCACTATGCTTTCTCAGTTTCTTGTAAAGGTATAAACAGCCCCGTGGTTGTATTAATATACTTTCCTAAAATAATTAAATAAGCAAAATCAACAGCAATTTACTGAATTTACTGAATTGAATTTATGGTGCAGAAGCAAAGAGATGCAAACCCTTTTGGTTTCACTGTGGACAATGTTACTTTTTTTTTTTTTTTTTTTTTAACATTCCAGGCATACTGCTTTCTCTTATCTTGTTTTAACTTTTGAAACATGGAATCCAGCCATCACAGTAGATTCATTTATTTGAAAACTTAATCTCTTAAAGTAGCATTTGTAGGGAAATTATTCCTATATAGATGCACATTATATCTATTTTAATCTCACATAACTAAACTCTCTTAGTTCATTTTTTTTTCTTAATTTGATAGATTATATACTTCAATTATGCTTGGTGTTGCAATATGTTAACATTAAGTCTCATTGAT